TTTTTACAGCGATCTGCTCTTTACCTTGCCAACATATGCTCGTATTCCTGGGCGAAGAGAGACAATTGTAGATATCAAGAATAATGGATTGATAACATAAGAATTCTACACCATCGTTTTTTTCTTTTTCTTTTTTTTGACAGTTAATAAATTTACGATTACTCTCTTATTTGTCATCCAATGTCTCAGCCTTCATCTCAATGTAGGCCTAAGTGCGGTACTTGTAGAACTATTTCGAATTCACAACGTTGTATTCATATATTAAATGACAAAAACATTCAAATTAATTTGTTAACTTTATGATTGTCGGCGAATTGTTTAGCTACACGTGTTAAATGTCAGAGGTGCTGTAGTCGCAACGGTGACGCAGAAATGTAGATGCCAATTTAAAAACAATAGGCCTAGTTATAAATTGGCTCTGATATCGACATAGTTTGCTTACTGTAAACGCAAGAAAACTAGAAAACTATGTTCAGCGTGTTCACGTGATAGTAGCGAAATTTATCAATGGACCTTTCAGCAATGTCGATGAAACTACTGACCAATTAGAATGTGTTATTTAATACACACAAGTTTACGTTTACGATCGCACACTCAGCCATATTTCTCTTTACGAATGCCTGCCGTTTAAGTTAACGACCGCACATTCAGCAATGTTCTCTTCGAATTGCTGTCGTTTAGTGAGCAACAATATTGAAGGGGTGGGTAATATCGAAACTGTGCGCTCAACGCTTACGTACTATAAATAAAGCAGAGCAAAAGCGGGCTTAGTTTAAATTAGTACGTGAACATGGTATTGTCACTGTAGTAGATTGTTGTGTTATACAGGTAATCGACGGATGATGAGTATGAAATTTAGAGTTTTAAAGGGTTTTAAGCAGTTGGTTTAAAACTCGTAAATATAATGGGAAAATATAGAAATATAATACTATAACATTTGACATTCAGTTCATATAAGAATAGGCCTACATTAATTTTCTCGCACTTGCTTGGTGGTCAGTTTTAAAGTACTCATTAATGAGTTCAAATGTGTTACATGTCTAGAATTTACCAAAAGTTCTTAAATTAACTATTGGTGAAAATAACAATATAAGAAATAGATCAATCTAAGAAATAGATCAATCTCTCAACACAATAACCCACTGGCTCCATTCAAACAAACTAATTACCAACACTGATAAATCTGTGACTATGCTCATTGGTACTTCTCAACGTACCCGCGATAAACACATCAGTGTTTCTATTGACAACACCTTCCTAAAACAGGTCAATATCCACAAACACCTCGGACACACTATTGACAGCAACCTAACTTGGAAACACATTCTCGTAATTTATCCATCTCCATTGCTTATAAAACATTGACACTTTCTCGAGCACATGAATTTATTGATAAAAACACTGCACTTCTAATTTATAATACTTTAATTTTACCTCATATTGATTACCAAAATACAAAATACAAAACACAAAATACAGAAACTTTAAAATCGTGCAGTCCGAGTCATACATAATGTACCTCCTCGTACTCCATCCTCTTCATTATTTGAACCAATAAAGGTTATGAATGTTACACAACGGTACCTTTACCAACTAGCATGTTTCACTTTTAAATCTTTGAGGGGACTGGCTCCAGATTATCTGGCCCTACGACTGGATATCAGACAGCAAAGGCACATGCGCACCAGATCCGTTGCCGCTGGTAATCTTAATATTCCTCATCCCAAACTCCATTCATTCAATTCATCCTTCAGTTACCAAGCTCCTTCATTCTGGAATACCACCACCACCATACCTGCTTACAACACCTTTAAAAATCACATCAAGCAACACATTTTAAACAAGGATTTATTTTCCCCTTTTTCTTAGGTTTTTTTCCTGTTTGGGTTCGGGTGTTTGTGTGTGTGTGGTGGGGGGGGGGGTTTACATTGTCTGTTTTGTCTGTTTTCTTTCTTTTGCTTTCTTTTTCTTATTTTATATTTTTAGAATTTTAATATTTCCTGTTTTAAATTTTATGATTAATTGATAGATCGGCTATTTTTATATACTTTTTATATATTTGTATTTAAGTGGGCCCCTGAACATCAAATTTATTCTGTAAGGGTCGCCCACTCAAAACATGGTTTTAAATAAATTTTTAAAAAATTAAAATGTTATGAAAAAAAAAAATCGATTTTATTTTTTAAAAAACATAATCCATAAACTATAACCTAAACGCAAACGTTGAAGTCAGTTTCTTTTTATTCAACACATGTGTAAATTAATGTTTGCAACGCTCAATCTTCACTGCCAAACTCAGTGAAGCTAGCTGTGCACCTTTTACAAGATCTTGATTAATTAAATTTTAACTTTGGAACTTTTCTTTATATCTTGTAGTAGGCGCTTTATTTCACATATTCCATTTGATCTTTTAAACATGAGCAGGTATTTTTTTTCTTCCGAATTTATGACATAGAGTGCAGCATCTATTTTAAAACAGAGCAAATAACTGTACGTTCAATAAAACTTCCAAACTATTAAAATACTATAATATTTTGAATGTAACAGTACACGCTGTAATAAAAGTTTTCAGAGTTTAGAAAGCATTAAATACTATTTTGTATTGGCGGTTGCTGTTAGTGACAAGATATTAGATTATAAGTTAAAAATAGAAAAAGTAATTTAAAAGCAAATTTAGGCTAAAATAATATTTAAAAAGTAACATGTTATTATTCTCCTAGAATATTACTTTATGTCCCTAGCGGCGAATACACAGGCAAAATAAATGAAGAGACAAGAAAAACCATCATCGGATGGAAATTGTCATTTATTGTAATGACGAATATAGAACATGTTTGGTTAAAGCACTGACCGTGATAATACAATACAACAACTAAATACGGTCATTTACTGTCTTATAACCATTACAGATATAATCAAATAAAAATGTTATCCTTAACTACATAAGTTCATATTAAAACAATTTGTTATCCAAATCATTACTGGAGGCTTTCCAATGCCTGTTTTGTGATGACGAATAAGAAGCGAGGCCTTCGTTGCCGATAATATTAAATCAGTGCGTTGGACCACTTTAGATTTGCAACCAACCCTCGCTGCCAGCTTCCAAAGGCGATCAAACCATTGAATGGCCATGAGAAAAAATGCCCTTATCAGTATCTTATGGGAAAGTACGCTTTCTACCGACTGCAAAGCGTGAAGTAATCTCAAAAAAAGATATCTTTCGTGAAAGGGAGGCGTAAGTCTACCCGAGGGGATATCGTGTGTCAGCGCCTTGGGAAGATCTATTGGTTGCGTAATGCGATATACATACACAACTACATTCATTACATTGTATTCAATAGTTTTTTTCAATAATTTTCAATTTTCAATAAAATTCAATTCAATGCATTTTTTCTACGGTAAAAATAAATTTAGATTTATTGACAAAAATGATAAAGCTTAGATAAAATCAGTTATGATTTTGATCTCGCTGAACTAGTGGTACACACTTGAATGAAATAATATTTATTGTAATAATATTATAGTATTAATATACTTTATTATATTAATATTAATAGTGTTGTTATAATAATAATAATAATAATAATAATAATAATAGAATAATAATATTAATAATAATAATAATAATAATAGAATAATTTTAATCTTGAATAAAATATAAAACAGAAACAAAGAAAACGATTCCTGATTACGATTCTCCTCTAAATGTATTCGGATTTTGTTCTGCTTTTATTTATTTTTCTTTTTAAAGCGTATTGTTACTGTTGTTACGTTGTCATTGTTTTATAGTCATTCGTGTTATTTTAACAGCCGACTGGCGTAAATTGAATCGCAATATGATATGATCATGTGATAAATGTAAAGAACGCGATTCTTACGTGATTACGTGAAAAATGCAATGTACATCGAATATATTACAAAATTGAGTTGACCGGACAATACAAATTGGTGGATATAGTAACATTGCAAAAGTGGAAACCGTGTAATGTTACTAAAATTGAATCTTTCTAAACTGGGCCTGAGCAGTAAAGAAGTATTTCCCCTTGAACATTATCAAATATAGTTTCAATAAATTTTTGCTGAAGTTTCTAATTTTTATGCTACTTAAAGTGGGCAAGTTGATTTTTACAATGGTTTGTCATTTTCAGTGGACGATAAATCTAAAAAACATCCACTAATTCTTTAACATTCACTTGCATTTAATTAGGTTATGCAAACTCTGTCTTATTTATAATCTGAATTGAATTTATATTACTCATTTTATTATGTGAATTATTGGTAGTAGAATGAATTATTGAGCGAATTTGTACATTGAACTGAATTTAGTTATAGTAATGAATTGATTGTTACTTGCAAACCCCCATGAGATATATTATTATGAGTTAACGAGATGTTCATGTCGACACGTAAATTCAACATATGACACAGAAATGTTGTAAAGCTAGTGTTAGATATTTATAATTTTCTGAATAACATTTTTTTGACAAACTTTGTCGGTTATGTGCCTACTCATTTTTTTAAATTATTTTAATTAATTCATTAGTATTCAAAACAAAATTTAGATTAATTGTTAAATATTTCTTTCTAATTACATCGATGCTGTTAATGCTCTCTTGGTGACATCATCGCGCTAACAAAGTCAGCATATCTACTGCTGCTATGCGCGCTGGACAGCCGCCAATCGCAGGCAGATATTTTATGATGTTTATATTTTCAGTAATCCATAAAAAGAAAAATCAAAATAATCAGTTCAATATTTTTATTTTATATCAATATCTATTAATGATATAAAATGAGTTTTGTTTTCTTATTATTACCGGTAACTAATTTACATTCACTTGTGAATTTTTTCCCGTCCCAAGTTTGTAATATAATAGTATAATAGTGTTAATTTCCAAATGTTGCTAGAAACGTATCGCGTAAACTGTTTCACAGGGAATTTCATAAGGATCCTAAACGCACAGATCTTACTGTCTTGTTATATTTTTCTCACTTTCCAGGATGAACGAAACCAAATTCTGACGACAAACGTATGGATAGAACAGGTGAGGTTGCTATTTTCATTAAATATTAACTTTACTTTATTAATAATGTGCTAATTTAGATTTTTGGGTCCGTGCAAGGCGGACCCCAGAACTCACTGCTGCTGCTGCTGCTGCTGTTGTTTTTGTTGTTACCAGCGTCACCAAACGCTAGAGGTGAATTCCAACAAACTTTTATGGCTCTTTCGTATGTTGGACCTCAGAGTGCCCCACATACCTACAAAACAAAACAGGGGTTTCAGCAAGTACTGTACATTACTGCCATAACCACTAGTAGTAAGAACCAAATGTCGTGAGTTTGAATCCGGTCTTGGTATTCAATTTTTATTTATCTATTTTTCTTCAATTTAAAACATTTTATTTTTTCAATTTTACGACATTTTGATTTTGTATCCTATTAGTTCTTCCAAAAAACCCCAAATAACTTGCGCACTCTGTACCGATTTAAGCATGGCGAACGTGCGGACCGGTGACCGGTCTGTCTGCCGGACTGTCTGTCTGTCTATTGGCAAGATTACGCAAAACTTAAACGAATGAATCATTTTAAAAATTTTGTGGAATGTTACTTAGGCCTAATAATAGAAAAAAAACCCATTTATATAACATAAAATAAAGTACTTCCATCGAAATACTAAGTATGCGTGGCCCCCGAAGGGGGGGGGGTGCGGTGCCCCGACGAGGGATCAGATGATATTAGAGTCTACTAATATGTAAAAATACATATTTTTTTTTCTCCCCGACGAATTGTGCTTTTTCTCCCCGACGGAGATAAATTAGAAAATATTTTCTGAGAATTGGCATGTTTAAATCACACCGAAAGATATAAAAAAAAAAACCTCATCGCATAATCAATATCAATATACTCAACACGTTTATTATTATAAAACAAAA